TTGGGGATGGTAAAGAACACACTCACACTCACAACCCCACCCCCACCCCCACCCCAATCCTTCAGAACGTGGCAAGCTGGCTGCAGTATACAGCAGCTCTTGTCATGAGAGGGAGTTCTTTGTGTGAACTTGAGCGATGGATTAGCATTTGGAAGTGTATGTCCTCAGGCATACTGCGACATGGGCAGGGTGTGAGGCATGTAGTAAACGTGGAGTCGTGGACACGTGACGGTGCTTTTTCACATATAATGGTCATAAAAGTTTGGTTAAGTCATTGGGGCAATGTTGGACGCCTTCCTGGTGGGGCTGCAGGGCTGAAATACTGTGGTACAAGCCCAGATATTCAGCTCCCTCCTGACTGTTGGGAATGTCTGATGGCACGTTGGGGATGAAATCCAATCCTATGCTACCAGCCTCTGACATGCAGGTCCCCCCTGACATTGGTCCCGGTGCCGTTAACTCGCGGCGTCCCTTGGGACTCAGACGACTGGACTGAAATGGCTCTGCCGGCGCCAAGGAGGCAAAAGAAAAGAGAAACAAAAACCAACGAGCCTAGCTCGGCTCAGTCGGTACACACCCAAGGGTCTGGGTTCAAACTTGGGTCTGTGAACTGTCGAAACACAGACCCAAGTTTGAATCCAGATGCAATCAGATGGACATAATAAATTTCAATTTTCAAATGATTGTGAATTATCTGGGGCCCGTCTGGTCAATCATCAATGTGGATATCCCAAGGCCGTTGCCCTTTCTTTGTCTTCTTCTTCTTCTTCTTGTTTTGTTTTTTTCTTTCTTTTCTTTTCTTTTCTTTTCTTTCCTTTGTTTCTTTTTGCCCTTTCGAATTTGAGAAAAAAAAAAAAAAACACGAAACAAATTGCACCTGCGTTGTCCTTCGGGACATCCGTTAAAATTGGAACGATACAGAGAAGGAAGATTAGCATGGCCCCTGCGCAAGGATGACACAGAAATCTAGAAATGGCCCAATTTTTTTTATATAAGGAAAAAAAAAAAAAAAAAAAATGCACCTGCGGCAGTTTGGTTTCCCTTGTAGGAGGCGCAGAGATACTGGTGGTCCCACCACGGTTGTTTCTTGCCCTTGTTCTTCATTCGTCATCATAGTCATTCCTTCTCGTCCTGCTCATTTTTGCCCTCCTTTTATTTTCTTTTCGGATAGCAGGCAACTACCGTCTTCACCCGAATAGAACGCCCGGTCATTATCGCGGCATCTGGACTGAATTCTGCACCAAATACAGCTATTTCTGCACCAAATACAGCTATAATGACCGGGCGTCGTATTCAGGTGAAGATGGTAGCCTGTGGGAGAGCTCGGCAGTCGTTCAGCCTGTGATTCTTTCTTTCTGTGTTCGAAGTATAGCATGCTCCTATTCTAGGGAAGTATAGCATAGCACGCTCCTATTCTAGGGAGGTACAGCATAGCATGCTAATATTCTAGGGAAGTATAGCACAGCATGCTAGTATTCTAAGGAGGTATAGCATAGCATGCTAGTATTTTAGGGAAGTATAGCACAACATGGTAGTATTCTAGGGAAGTATAGCATAGCATGCTAGTATTCTAGGGAAGTATGGCACAACATGCTAGTATTCTAGGGAAGTATAATTTAGCATGCTAGTATTCTAGGGAAGTATAGCACAACATGCTAGTATTCTAGGGAGTTTGAACTCCCTACTCCTAACAACCAACTCCTTTTCCTCTTTCTCTGTAGGTTCACCTCACTGGTTGTATATGATAAGTATTAAAGAATTCTACAAATGAGGGTATGAGTGCCTCCTGTGAAATGAGGACATCCTGGCTCTGTGCAGATCTCGTTGCCACACCCCTTGGGAGCTGGAGGAGGTACAGATTGTCATCGTGAATAGGTGCCGAGTTCTAACATTAAGATCCACATCTTAAAAAAAAAAAAAAAAAAAAAAGATCCACATCTGAGATAGCTGCACTCCAAGTAATGGAGCAGGAAGCTGATAGTCCCAAGGAAGCATTTGAGAGGGTGCAAAGTCACAAACCACAAACACCTCCTCTCCCTTTTGAGGAGAGCTTCTTGGGACCAACCATCCTCAGCATGCTGGTCCCTGGCTGCGATGAAGATGTGGGCATTACTGAAGAATCTTGTGACCGGTAGCATACAGTGGACAAGTGATTGGGTGCAATCAGGGGAGGGCGGAACCACAATGGGAGGAAATGATGTCTTCTCCTCCTGCGATACTGCTCCTGCATTCTCTCTCTCTCTCTCTCTCTCTCTCTCTCTCTCTCTCTCTCTCTCTCTCTCTCTCTCTCTCTCTCTCTCTTCTCCTCCTCCTCCTCCTCCTTTTCCAAGCTTAAGGACACTATGTATGTTCTGATATCTGTTGGTTACCTTGAACTTTCCGTACTCAAACAGATGTATGTCACAGTTAGTCCATCTTTTATCCTAAACAGCCGGGGCAGAGAGGAGTGGCAGTAAAAGAGGGAGAGACTGCGGTCCATCTCTCTCTCTCTCTCTCTCTCTCTCTCTCTCTCTCTCTCTCTCTCTCTCTCTCTCTCTCTCTCTCTCTCTCTCTCTCTCTCTCCGTACAGCGGTATGTGGTGTGATGTTTCTTGCACCCGGTGGTGCTGCATGGCCCTATTTATCTCACACCCATGCGATCCGATATTTTTTGGGCGCCACAGCATTTTTTTTGAGCCGCACAAGGTGCCACTAAGCATACTTTATTACTTTCTCATGGGGCACACAGCACCATGCAGCCAACCATCCAGCTGTGGCTGGGTGTGCGTCGTGGGTGTGCGTCGACATGTAAGACCCGCTGAGTTGTACTAACTTAACTATTTGATTATGATGAGCCTTGGGCTGTAAGCCCCTTATACAGTTCTTTGTCGAAAAGATTCAGCGGAGGAGAAGCAGGGTGAGCAGTCAGAGAAGGTGACATGATGACCTTGACAATGACATTTGTGGAGGAGGAGGAGGAGGAGGAGGACGAGGAAGAAATAGAAGAGGACAAAAACAAAAAAAGCAGCACATGCGGACAGTTGGGAAGGAAGAGGAGGAGGAGGAGGGACAAGGAGGAGGAGAAGAAGGGGCTGGACATGCAA